CCATGAATTGATTCACTCACGAACTGGGGTCGGATTGGCCCGGACACTGGAATATTCGCCCTCGAATTGTCTCTCGCTACAAGGGGAACCGGGATTGCTGAGGACCCACACCCCAGGTGCGGAACATTATGAGGCGTGCCTCTCAATGGACCTGCACCTGACAAGTAGTGCATCCCAGTATTTTGAAGGCTGTTCTCATCTTGGGATGGGGCGAAGTCGATTTTGTCACTTGCAACCACAGTAACCGGACCCGGGAAATAGAATGTTAACCCGAAACGGGGGGGACCCTCACTAAATACGCTTGCAAAAATTGTGTGTGCGTGTGTGTGTGTGTGTTTTTTATATGTTGAGGGTACCGTTTTTGGAACCACTCATTTGAGTTCCCCTTTCAAGTGATAGCGAGTTCAGGACGCTTTTTTCCCACTGGCAGCCCGTCTGGGATACCGCCTGAAGCAAGAGTCAAAGACGCTCCTGTCCCGAGGCTGTACGTGGTGCGGAGCCATGGAACGAAGCATAGATTATCATAGATTTCTCCAGGAAGTTCAAAGACTTCCCCACCGACCCCCAGTCCAAACAAGGAAGCATGACAGTTAAGCCTTATTTAGGGGGCTTATTTCGCACAAGTTGGGTATGGGTCAAAATTAACCACCAGGGGACCGCAGGTTTTAGTCCTTGTTTCCATTCAACAGGGTTCCATTTTGGGTACCAATTTTTGACCCAGTTGGCCTTTTGGCTTATCCTTAAGTACGGATCTACGGGTCTGGTGGCACCGTTGAGAAGTCCATCCTAGATACAGCAAGGAGCCTTACACAAGGCTGGGGCCCCCGTCGCTACGCAGAAAACCACAGCCCTTTGGCACGTAGCAAGATGCATTCTGCACCCGCTCGTTTCGAGAAAGTCACAAAGGAAACCCACAGGCTCCTTGTGGCCGAAAGCCAGCCTCTGGAGCTGAGAAAAAGGAGGGATTCACACAGGAAACCCAGCCTCGCGCTTTTCTGCCGCCCGAAATGAGAGCAAAACAACGAACATTTGGTCCGATCGGGAAGGAATTGGGCAAGCCACCAACCAGTGATTCAACACTATCTCTCTTGGTGATTGAACTTGATTCAACCAAACTGGCACCTTTACTTCCATTTGCTTGAGTTGCCTGAAAAAATCTATGAACATATGCCCAGTAGCAGCAGGTTCCCTTGAAAACGAGCAGGGGGAGATATCAAATCCATGTTCATTTTTCAGCCAATGGAAGTGGCTGACCTATGGATCCTATGGATCCGCGGCTGCCCTATTGGACTCAGTCGTTCGCTTTGTCTCCGTACATTTTGGGGTCGTGGTCATCCAGAACCAGGTGTGCAGTTTCTGGGATCAGGTCACCTCAGCTAGTCAGGCTGCTTGGCGCTCGCTTCAAGGGCTGGAAGGCCTTAATGATGCCTTAATGCGAAGCACCCCATACGAGCTACTTTCCTGCCAGGCTATAAGCTACATGTTTGTGTCTTGCATGTACACGTGCATCTGACATGTGTCCTCCCGAAATCAACCTTCCGAAACAAAGGTCTTGCACAAAATGGCGCTGGACAACATACCGTTTTTGCTTGTCACGGTAGGGGTCCCCTAAAATGGGGACCCAATTTCCTATCGGTTGCAACTTAAGTGGGGAAGAAACAGATCCGCCCATGGAGTCCCTTGAGCTGAAGATTTGGAGGGGTTCTCAAAAACCACTCGTGGGGGTGGTGTCCCTTTCAATCGTCAGTTGGAGGGCAAAGCCGAGGATGTTACTTCGATGGAGTCTTGTGCAACTCAATGTGGCAACAGGGTTGGAAAGACTAACATGTTAGAAGACCCCCTAGCAAAATCACATGCTCGATTTCGGTCCATATGGTGTCTGAAAGCAGGGACCTCAACAACATGTCAGTGTTCTGTTGGCTTCGCATTTAAAAAAAAAAAAAAAACCAAACATGACATACAACATACCCGTATTTAGCGACCCTCATAATGTAAGATCATGCAGGAGAGATCCTGGCCATAAACTATCACGATTTCAAGAGAGACCCTTGAAAAAGCTCGGTCAAGTCATGTGGGTGTGTCATTCTTTGAGGGTATACCTCTTTTTGGGGGGTCCAAATCCTTTAAAAAGACAGACCCATGTTAAGTCCGGCTGCGAAAAGACCATGAATCATGTTTAGTCCTGCCCGGGCTGTCCAGAAATACTGAATATCCCCCCCAAAGCGCGAACACTTTACACCTCAAGGTGTGCGACGTGGCCGCCTGGAGGTAAGGTTGGTAAGCATCTCCTAAATGGGCTTGGGGCTTCTTTCTGACCAATCAAAGGCATCTTGTTTCGCAAAAAACTGGGCCGCAGGTTGGTCAAGTAACCTGAGTGGGCTTTGGGATCCCTTAAGCAAAGGCGACCACGGCATGCCAAAACGGGTGGCAGAGGTAGAGGTTCATGACGGCGCCCGCTGCCATGAGCAGGAAGAAGGACAGCCAGGTCCCAGTCAGCTCCACACTCCTCACTAGCTGCAACTCAGCCCAGTGGATTTCCATGGGAAAAGAAGGGCATCCTTTTTGGTTGGTTAAGTCTAAAGGGAACCCTTCCCAAAAAAACAAGTTAAGAGAAAGGGAGCAACCCACTGGGCAACTGGGGAAAGGCTCGCAATACCAGCTGGTAAAGATGAATATGCCGGCCCAGTTGCATCCTTGGGGCCGTGTGAAGAATCAATCTACCCAGTGGCAACCAAGTAACGTGGAGCCTGTGAACCACAACGGTGCACCAGACTCCTGGAAGACTAGCGACATTCAAACGGGAAGTGCCAAGCTGAGACAGGGGACTGTTGGGTTGATTGTTTCTTTTTTCATTTTTGGTGTGCAAGCCACAAAACCAAAACAGAAATGAACACATGTCACTGAAGAACCGGGACTAGTTCAAACCTCATGGGCTTGAACTCTTCACACAGGGTCCCTTCCGGCCAGCAAACAAGGACAACTAGGGAACATGTATCAGGTGTGAATGGCTGGCTCTACACCATCGATACTTTGCGTACTTGAATGTTCAATGTGTGCCCTGCCACAGTTGCCCAAGAAATGAAGCAGCTCATGTGATGTTGGAACGCCCCTTCACTCGGTGAAAACAGTTGTCATGCAAGGTTTTGTTTGGGGGTTAGGGCCAGCAAGTCCCCAGGGGTGGTGTGACAGACTCCAGAAGGGCTCACCCAAGAAAGCCAATCCGTCACTAGAGGGGAAAGTGCCTTTGATAGCTGACCCGGCCACAGCTGTCCCATGTCAATATTTGAGACAGAGACACACCCCTTTCAAAGTTGAAGTCTTCCCCCGCCCCAATAAATCAGAAAGCAATGGCACGTAAGCCTAGGCTTATGCCCCATTCCTTGTTTGCTCTTTCGTTGGGGCTTGCCATCTGCCTGTTCTGGCGGTGTGGACTTCGGAGATGGAGTGGGCCCAAAACGAAATGGCTTCCAACATGGGACAACTGGGGCGACCCCAAATTTCCCGTTCCCCCCCCCCCCGATGTTGGTTTGTTTAAGTAACCAAGTTTGTTTGCTTTTGTCAGTCCATGCTCATGAAAGTCACACTTGAAGATGTCCCTCTGAACATCCTCTGAACCAGCAAGTCTGGGAGGTTCTTGCCCAAAAACATCACAGAAGGCTCAAACTGCAACCACTTCAAGCCCACTTTCCCCACATCCCTGGTGTGCTTTTCGGTTTGAGATCCCAAACAAGGGACCTCCCGGGCGTGGTCTGGGAGAAAGGACATGCTTGGTCCATGGCTTCGTTTTTCAGCAAAGAATCGGTGTTACTTGGCGATTAGGTTCTGTGAAGGGGCCCAGAACTCAAGCTTCCACAGTCAGCCAGAGTTTTAGCAACAATCAGTTAGCACCTTGCCCCAAGTGGATTTCCCAACCACTGCTTCTGCCAAGTGATGGTTACTCACGGGACAAACCAACTGAACCCCAACTGCAACGTCCAGGCCATGGGCTGCAGCTTTCAGCTCCCGTTTCTCATTTCGCTTGCCTAAACCTCAGGTTTCGGCTTGCCCGGTCCGGTGGCTCTTGGGCCTGGTGAGCCAGCAGATTTGCCCAAAAATAGTGGCACCTTCCCAGCAAATACGAGACAGAAGTGGGAGAGGGGGGCCCTCTCTCCGCCAGCTATACCGCGGGCTTTGTCAAGAAAAATGAGGTTCTTTGGACGTTTCCGCAAAAGCGCTCCGTTCTTCGAAGCTGTGGCGCAAACTAAAGAAGCAGACAGGATCCGAGAAAAAAAGAAACAAAGAAAGAAAAAACACCGTCGAAGCTCCGAAGTCAAAGTACCCTCAAACTCAGCCCAGCTTGGACCTCCGGCAATACAAAGGTGCTCACAAAAAAGATGGGCACCCAGAAAGGGGAAGCCACAAGTTGTCAGATCAGCACTGGTCGATTCGCTTTGAGCTGAGCAATTGGTCAATGCGGCCCTTGTAATTCTCCCCGAAAAGGACAACCCAAGCCCAGCTTTTGGTGGAACATGGGAAAACAGGGTTTCTCATTTCCTTTTTTGGAACCAAAAGTGGCGATCCTTTCAATGAAAACCAGCAAATTGATCAACTTTAAACTTGGTTTCCATCTTCGAACACTGGAAAACGGTTCGCGTTGGCTGTCCAAGAATCGGTTGAAGCGAACAGGGGCCCATTTTAGGGAGCGCATCTCAGGCATCTTCGTGTTCAGCATTTTCTCGTCGACCATATGGGTGTCAACATTTTGGACGCCCAATATCATTATATAGTCTCTGTGTGGCTTCCCGATATGCACCAATCCCACGCATTGATCTTAATTGGTTTGATGAGTATCATTTGGGCAGATTCATGTCCTCCAACCACTTGTGAGGTGGCTCCCTCTTACAACTCATGGTCACACATTTTTCCATTTCAGGGTGCCTTTTTCGAGTTGGCTTTAAGAAAAACCAACATGAAAACCACAATCTGTATTGAGCATCCGCCAATTTCAAGGTACATTCATATTAAAAGCCCAAAGACCTCCCCCCCCCCAATCAAAAACACACACACACAGGCACACAAAAACTACTTCCCCCCCCCTCCCCCCGAAAAAAAATGGCAAAAAAGAACTACGAAAACAAAACCGACGGAACAACAAAAACACACAAAAAAAAAAAAAAAACGCGGCCGAGGCGCCCCTCGTAGACCAAGGGCCCCAGCAGCGCGGCCATCCGCCCCGCGGCCAGGCACACGCCACAGCCGGTGGTGCGGGCCTCCGTGGGGTAGATCTCATTGGCCACCTGGCAAGAGCCATGGCCTCCAACGAATGCGGGTTACCCTCCCTCCCACGAACATGGCACCTGACCTAGGGTCCCTCAACGAGGAAATTTGTCTTCCAGGTATCCTCCCACGAATGCTACGTTAGTGGGAGGAAGATGGAGGAAGGGTAAATGAAAACGTGCACTAAAGCCTCAAAAGCTAAACAGCTCAGGGGATGGATGGGAAGCTGCAAGAAGGGTGGAGCCGGTTGTTGGCTGAGTTGGCCTCCCCGCTTTTGGTTGCTGTGAGTTACCATGGCTTGATGGTTCAACATGTTTGGTATCCACCAAACATGTACTGCTTGACGTTGGAAGGGGGTTCCACCAGAATTCCACCAGGGTTCCACGAGGTTCTGCGAGGGCTGTGGGGTGGTGCGAGCACGAAAAAGAGCACCGCATGCTGTTGGGGATCTCACCAGAGCTTATTTTTCAAATTTTGGCAGTTCAGAGGTTGGATTTCAACCACTAAACCACAAGGTGTTTTTTTGGAAGCATCATTCCAGGCTTCTGGCAACCATTTTCGTCAGGGTCCAAAAAAGGTGATCACCTGAAATATGTTTAGGTCAAAACTGGGCATCCCAAAGGGTTGCTACGGTGGATGGTTGCGAAATCCGTTTCGCACCACCGAAGAAAGCATGGTTTCCCCATACTTGGCATTTGGAGGAGAACCATCATTTTCCTTTTTTCTTAGGTGGATTTTGTCCATCAGGGGTCATTCCGAGTCATTCTTTGCCCATTCTAGGGGTTGTTTCCCCATTATTTTCAACCATCGTTCATTTCGAAAACCAGCGGTTTCCCCGGGTTTCTGGAGGTTTTCTAGAAAGAAGGATCCCTGGAAAGAATGGAGAAGGTACCCCTAGAAGAGCCATGGCCTCGAAATGGATGGCTCGTCTTTGAGGACTTCCCCAAAAAGCCCCAACCAAACAGGGGTAGCCTCCTCCAAACAGAGAGGACCCATGTGGGGTGCCTCGGCTTTTTTTTGAAAAATTTGGATTTCCCACTCGGTGGTGGTTTTGCTTTTGACGCCACAAAGGGGAAATGACTTGTTCCCGTTTTGGGACCTCCAAAAGTGGCCTTGGCGGCCAGCAAATTCTAACTTTTGAACTTTGAAGGGAGGACGTCTTCTTTGGAGTTGGCGCCCCCTGTTTTTTACTGGTTTTCAAGGACTAACAAGAGGAAACCAACACCATTTTGGGAGTGTAAAGAAAAACATACCAACATGGTTGGACATGTTTGGAACCCCCTTGTAGATATGTGTCGCGCTAGTAGAAGGGAAATTCCTCACGTCCACTTCACAGTTTTTGGCATATAAACTTGTTGTTCGTTCTTCTTGGTTCGGTCCTGTTCATCTTTTTTACTGGGCCCTAAAGAAAAAAAGGCTGTTGCTACCGTACCAGCTTTGGGAAAACTTGTTTCCCCTAGAGGCCATGAGAACATTGGTGAGCCCCTTTGGTCTGAGAGCTGCACCGACCAGGAGAACACCGAAGAAAACCGGGCCAACACGCAGGGTGTCAAAACCAAACAGGGATTTGGCCCCCCACAAGTTGCGTGCTGGCTTTCCCTTGGCCTTCCCAAGCAAAAACCGGTAACTAAAAAACACAAACCCAGGTCATTGGTTTGTGCTGTTGTGGAGTGTACCCTTCATTGGACCGCCGGAAATGTGTCTCTGCGTGACGGTCGAAATGACCCAGGTTTCCTGGAGTACGTAAGAGAATTGGGGTTTGTCCCTGTTTTAGCGGGAATTTCTGTGAGCCCACGGTTTTGTGGGAAATTCTGTGGGAGGTTCCGACTGCGTCCCTTCATCTCGTCACTCCAACTATGTGTCATTCTTGCGCATGACTCTGAAGAATCCAATCTTAATAACATGTCCCTATTCCTCAAATCGTGACTTACCTTGACACATGTCTTCCTTTGTGAATAGAATATTAGTGAAAAAGCAACTAGTGCAAAACTGTATGGTGTTCAACGCCCATTTCCTGTTTGACAAGCAACAGCACAAACAAGCATCATTTGCGAGACTTAGTTGGTTCAATTGTCGGCACTCTGGCAAGTGTAAACATTGTGGATGACATTTTTTTCTTTGAGGTTCAACTATGACTTGTTTAACGTAGAGAAACAACGAATCCAAGCCTCGTTGCCACAAACTCTAGCTTCTGTTGACTGGGCTGTTCTCAGATCCCCTGCCGAAAGCTTAACCTTTCCTCGCTAAACCCTTGGTTTGTTCACCTGAGGCACCGGACGGGGAAGTTTTAAACATGTGCTTCGTTGGGGGGAACTTGAATTTCAAGAAATCACTGTGACCAAACCTCAAGCCTCCCGTGGAGTCACTAGATTCCCCCAGCTGAAGGAAAAGTGGGGGGAGTCCAACACCCACCTGTGGTATCCAGGGCCTAAATAACAAATCGATTTCTTGCTTTGGGGGCCATACTGTGGATGGACCAAATCCACTTCGCACCAGCCGGGATTGCTGGCTTATCCCAGTATTTATGCCCAACTGGTGCAGGATTTGTCCATCCGCAAATATGAGAAAATCATAGCAATTCTGCAGCCTCTTAATTAAATTACCGGTCTGGAACTCTGGTACAACCTGAAAGTCCCTTCAGGACACGGCAAGTCTGCACCCGGGGAATGGAACTTTCAACCAGCAAAAAGGGGAGTTCCCGTCATCCAAGCAACCCGCAATGGAAGACAACAACAAATCGAACAATGAAGCCCAAGCAAACACAAGGGGATAATCTGGCAAGGCTCTCAATATTTCACTTATTGAACATCACCCGGCCAAGAGGAAAATCAATCATTTCAATGGCATACACAAAGGATGGCTGCCCAGTTGCAATCAGCGAACTGAACCGTAAACACAAGGGCACCCAATTTTCAACCAGCGTTGCAAGTTTTCTGTTGGATTCCTCTAGAACGTCCATATTTTCTCAAAGACCCAGTTGCAACCGTCGCACTGAGCCGTAAGCAAAAGCTTTGGCAACCAAGTTGTGCCAACGTTACGATCTCGGCTTCTGGCGCCCTCGTGAACATCGATATGTTCCATGACCCAGTTGCAACCAGCGACCCGCAAGGACCGCAAGGAAGAATGCCGTTGGGCTGGTTGACTTCCACTCATACGAAGTCCCCCCAACAAAGTCACGCAACTGCGCTCCCCAAAGAATCTGGTTGCACTTGACAGGTTGCAGGTAGAAGCTCCGAAGTACACATGTTCCATCAGAGCATAATTCTCAACGAAGGTACGTTTTGTGGTGACTGACATGTTTGGTGAAATGCGCGGGGGTGTAGCCCAAGCAATAACATTCAATTGCCGTTTGCTGCCATTCAAGATGAAAGGGCCCTCAAAAGCGGCTTGAAAAGCGGAGGTGCGCTTTGATTAATTAGATGGGCAAAACAGACAAGCTGAGCTGATATTGGCCCATGTTCATGGGGGTCTTGGGCCCTCTGACAGCCAAAAGTCCTTCTGGGTTTGGAGCCCTAGCTTGGAGTTTGGAGCCATTGGCCTTTTTCCGGGCGACCTATGGCTCCCTTGCAGAATCAACTCATTCCAAGATATCTTGTGGTGCGGACGGATTCTGTGCATCCACAGTAGGGGGATCTTCCCTGCCGGGGGCTTGCAGCTAGACTGCGCCTTGCATGAATTCACTGGGCTGACTCCCGCACAACGGCTTAGAAGGATGCTGTTGGAGTCAAATCAAGTGACTTGTACATAGCGCAACAAGCTCCCCCCTTTGACGTTTCAGCGCATGAAATTTCATGCGAATCCCAATCGCCTGGTAGATGAGCACGAAGCCGAGGTTGGGCGCCATCTTGACCCCATAGTACCCGGCCTGCAGCCCCCGTCACGAAAAAATAGGCTCTCAACCATATTGTTTTATGGGAAGAAACGGGCGCCTTGTTTGGGCTGGTTGATTTGAAGAGAACCCCCCTCCCCTAACAGATCACCACTTGGTAATTGGTTCTACCCAACTTTGGCATTCAGAAGGCAAGCCCCGAATTGCCGCACGTGGACTGACACCACGTGCACAAGATTTGCTTTTCGCTGGCTGAAACGGCTCGGCCCTGGGTTCTAACAAATGGGACGCTACCCCACGCTTGGCAGAAATCGCATCCGGTGGATCAGAACCCCTTAAAAGGGTCCCCTGCATACGGTTCGCAAGCGTCCTAAGCAAATCCCCATGTCCGTTCCTACCGGCCTCGCTAAAGAGGTGCAAAGCCACCTCTTGGGGCACCAAATCATTGCTCATACCCTCACTGGCCATGGACCCTTTCCTGCAAAAAAAACAAACAAGGGCGCCAGAGGAGGCCTGAGGAACATGTCCTGCAATTTTGCAGGAGACTCCCCGCTTCTTTGTCACATTTTGACAAACATCCATCCATGTCCGCTTTTTGTTTCCTGCAAACATGGAACCCCAAGAACGTTCGAAAAGGATGACCCTCTTTCCGGAGACGACCCTCTTTCTGGAAACCTCTTGGGGGCTTCATGCTAGGGTCGCAAAACGAAGTGGGCTGAAGGGCTGAGCTCCCGATTGCAAACGAGGCGCGTAGAGGCACACGTCGAAGACCCAGTGCCTGCAACGATTGAAACCTGACTCACAGTTGGCCATCTTTGTTTGGTTCCCCTCCCTCCAACAATCACGGAAGCTGACAGGAGGGAATTAGTAGACCTTCCTTTTTGGGAAAGCCCTCTGTCCACTTCCATGATTGTTGGAAGCAGGGTGTACGTGGTGGTTATAGCCCAGTAAATCCCATGGACTTCCAAAGATCTTGCCAAAATGTGAGAGTCAGATGCTCACAACGCAACTGGATCTGGGGGGTGTCTTTTTAGAGGATCGGCGCCCTTTTAAGGCACGGTGCAAAGGAAAACCATTCATTTTGAGGCCTGTTTTCAGACGGGATTTGGATCCTCTAAATCTCAGCTGGTACTTAGAGAGCCTGAACACCACCAACGGCAACCCAGATCAAGGGACCCTTCCTGGGGTTCGGGACACTTGCCGGTTTTCACGGCCTCCGCCAAAAAGGGATCAATCAACCACTGATCCTCCAAGTCAGCCGGCAAACGGCTATCAAACGATGCATCCTTTGAGCAACCCTGCTGCATCTGCATGTCTAACATACATCCAACACCTGACATCAAATTGGATCCCGAAGTACAGGATCTACATCATGGGCTTTGGCGCAAGTTGTACCCGCGGATGAGCGCGAAACCCATACATGATGCAGTAGTTCAAAGGGTTTCCCTGCGAACAGGGCTCTCTATACCCCTTAAACAAAATCACCACCAGAAGGAACCTCACCTTGGCCAAGTCATGTTTACAAAAAACACAACAAACATATTCAAGAGGGCCTTGTATTGAATTAACCTAGGAATCTTGACAGAAACTAATGTTTCACTGTAGGGTCCTTCCCTCATTTGAGAGGGGCCCAGGTTTTGGCATCGGGCGATTGCCTCGCCTGTGGTGGTTGTTGCCGCCGATGATGAACAGCAGCATCACGCAGGCCAGGGTCGTGAGGTAGATCTTCAGGCCTGTCTTCCTGGTCGGAATGGTCGGATTGCTGCATGCCCGCCCTCCCCAAAAAATGGAGATGGGCCCGAATGGGCCCATGTCGAATACCTGTTCTTCATATTGGTTTTAGGTTGCCAGGTTCTGTGCACGCACACCCAACAAAGTACCTTGAAAGGAGACTCCAAAGGCTGCACTCTCGTTCAACATGCACCCGTCCCAAAACACAGAAACACAGAAAGACACAAAGACACACACGCACAAGCTTTACTTACAAAGGCACGCGCACACACAACAAACAAATCAAAGCATCATTTGAGTGGAATCCTCTTCTGGGACGGGACCCGCTTTTGAGTTCACATGGACATCCCGCCTCCAAAAATAACACAGAAACAACACGAGAAACAAAATGAAAACACGGCAACAACAAATCAGAGCTTAAGGCCTTCAGCTGTTGGGGGTTCCCCCAACCCACAAAACAACACAATAAAACCCACCCAGCCCACCCCGCCCCAGCCCACCCCGCCCCAGCCCAGCCCACCCAGCCCACCCCATCCCACCCCATCCCAGCCCAGCCCACGCAGCCCGGACCCATGTCCGCCGGACACCCACCACCCGGATCCGTCCTGAGGTAGGTCAT